GTTAGCTCGGTTTGCCATTTTTGCTTCATTTTGTGATCTTTTGCTGCGTGTGATTCAAATTTAGCGTTTCTTCTCAGTTTTGGCGAGCTCTTCGGTTTTTTGGGGCCTTTTTGCCATGCAAGGGGCGGGTCTGCTTCCAGCTGCTTCTGAGCAGCCTCAGGCTCAAATAGCTGCTACTGAGCAGGCTCGGGCTCAAATGCAACAGTGGGCACGCTTTCCGCTGTATTTGACCCAAGACGTTTGGAACATCTTGCAAGGGAGCTCCGAGAGACAGCTTCGGAAAGTGGAATGCGTCACTTCGCATCTTGTAACGTTGGGCTTACGAAACCCTTCGGAGCGGACCATGGCAACCGTGGCTGCTGTGATTGCTCAATGCGATGGCCAAAATATGGAGGATCCAGACACTGCAAAGCAAGTTGCTCTTTTGTCAACTGTGAAGAGTGTGATGAAGACCCATATCATCCGAGCTCGTCAGCTTGGCACTCCGATTGGGGGAGGTTACTTGCAGGAATTGCCTGTGACCTGGGAGCAGCTACCAGGAGAAATGCGCGAGCGCTTTTTTCCGACTGGATTGGTGCAGCCGCCGATTGACCTGAACATTGCATGGCGATCTGGGAATGCGTGGCCAATGCGCAGCACTCATCGTTCTAGGCAATTGCAAGGTGGCCACACTGACTTGATCTCTTCTCAGGCTGGGTATGCTGCTGCAATTGCCCAGCAAGCAGCGGTCACGACGGCTCAGGCTTTGCTTGCTTTGGTGAACCCGGGCGTAGTAGGGCGCTGTTCTGAAGTGCAGCTGCCTGGATTCCAGCAATTTCAGCCTGGGAACCGTGAGATGCCTGTCAGTCGAAGAGATGAGTCTTTGAGGTTGATGTTGGAAGAAGCCAATGCAGCTCCTGCAGCTGCTAGTTCTTCCAGCGTGCCGGCGGCTCCTGCCTCAATGTCTCAGCAGTTGGCCCTGACCAATGGCGAGCCGTCGCAAAGCGTTGGCGCTGTTGCGACGCCTGCAGCACCGTCTGCGGTGCAGCCAGCGGTGGATTCGCAGCCGGAGGGGTCAGCTGCGATGGAGGCCGCGGAGGCGGCGCAGGTGGAAGCAAGTTTGGCTATCTTGGCCAATGCTCATTACAATGAGACGCTGCCTTCAGTTTTGTCGCCGCCCGAGGAGGCGAGCGCATGCAAGCGGCCTGCAGGTAAGTCCGCTGTGAGCGTGAAGAAGATTATGAAGAGGCCTGCTGCTGCAGCAATGCTGGCTTCATCTTCCGAGAAAAGGATTTACCAGAAGCCTGCGGCTGCATCTTCGTCAATTGGACCAAAAAAAAGGCCAGCGGCAAAGACAGATCAGGAGAAGAAGATTACTCGGGCTAAGGCTTACGAGCTGAGGCCAACGGGCTGCGCTCGCTGTCGCCATCAGCGCGGTTGTTGCCCCAGCTGTTGGAAGAAGAAAGGTATGATCCTTGTGGACTGAAATTTTGAGGCATTGCCACTATAGCCGCTTGGTTGGAAAACAGTTTTTCATTTTGGTGTTGCATCATTTCTTGGAGATATTTCATTGGAGATTGATAGGATATATATATATATATATATGTTCTAAAGATATATATAAATATATATACATATATTATATATATATATATTCGTCTCTCTCTCTCTCTCTTTCTCTCTCTCTGTCCATGGTCTGCATATTTTCTTGCATGCAGTATATGTTTGATGTGTGTTTATGGGTTTGCTTCCGATCAATTTTGCTCAAAGCAACATATATTTGTACAACAGTTTTCTCTCGCTTTGCGCAATCATGTGGCAGCCATTTGATTGGAGGCGAGATGAGACCGGTGATTTTGTGCAAGTGCAGTGGCAGCAGCGCGGCATGGGTACTGGTCGCATGATTATGAAAACTTTGCCTGCGCTTTGGCGGGATAGCAAGGATGAGAAGCTTGACTGAAGTCTTGAGTGTGACTTCTGAGTCCCCGAAGCAGCGGCGCACGACGCCTGTTGAGCGATTGCCACTGAAGAAAGAACAGCAAGTCGTGGCAGAAATGATTTTTGCTACATTGGAGGCCTTGCGGGGTGAGAAGGGCAGGTCGATGTCTGCAGAGAGCCGCAATGAGCGTATTCAATCGCTTGAGGATGTATCTTTGGATATTTTGGATGCATGTCTGAGTAGCGCTGATTTGATGAAGATTAAGGCTGTGGTGGAGAAGGTGACCTTTGATTTATAGTGACATACTTTCCGATGGTCGAAAAGAAAGTGCTGCCTCGCAATGTTAGCGAAACAGGAAAGCTGTTTTTTTTCTAAAGTAAGCAGAACTCATAACATGTATGTATCCGCAGCCGTTTTTTCAAGCTGACGGCTCCGGCTGCCCTTCTGTGGTGTATGACGGTGAAGCAGGCCGGGACAGGGTTATGTATAATATATATATATATATATATGTATGTATATATAGATTAATATAGATATACACATGACGTTCAAATAAAAAACACACACAGAAATATCAAGCCTGCGTGCGCGCGGCTGTTTGGGGGCCTGCGTGCGCGCGGCCGCTTTGAAGCCTGCTTGCAAGCCTGCGTGCGCGCGGCTGCAGAGAGTCTGCGTGCGCGCAGCATTGTATAGCCTGCGTGCGCGCGGCTAGATGCAAGCCTGCGTCCGCGCGGCTGCACGGAAAGTCTGCGTGCGCGCAGCAAAGGAGCCTGCGTGCGCGCGGCGTGGAGCATGGCTCGATGGAGCTTATGCTCCGATTGGTTCATGCCTGCGTTCGCGCGGCGGGCCACATGATTGATTTGCCTCACATGTATTTATATATATATATGTGTGATTGAGCACCTCTTAATATAGTTTCCCCACTGAACTATAAATTATCATATACCATTTGTATGAATATATATATAATATATAGATACATCCGTTTTCATTTTCCGTCTTGCCAGGTCATGGCGTCCACTTCATCGGAGGAGCCCGACCATAGACCACGTGGGCCGGATGATGCAGAGGAGGCGCTGCAGGCGGAGCGTGGTGACGCTGGCCTGCCTGATGCGCCGCAGGCGGAGCGTGGTGACGCTGGCCTGGATGATGCGCCGAAGGCGGAGCGTGGTGACGCTGGCCTGGATGATGCGCCGAAGGAAGAGCGTTCAGACGCTGCCCCTCTGGCCAAGGCGGAAGGGGATTCGGCCCTACCGGAAGTGGCTGCAGGAGACAAGACTGCGCCGCATGGAGGAGAAGGCGGCGAAAGCCGAAAGAATCGCCGTGGTGGGTGGCGAACCAAAAGCAACGTGGATCGGCAGCCGTGCTCAATCTGTTGGACAAAGGTGTCGAACACAGAACAAGGTTTGACACAACACCAACAGAGCAAGTATTGCCTGACCTGGCGATACAGGAATGAGGGACACTCGAAATGGGAGGCGGCGGCAATGGCGGAGAGGCAGCTGGCACAGGGGCTGCCGCTGCCGCCGCCTGTGCCCCCAGAGCGTTCCCGCTCAAGGACGCGCAGGGCTTCGCGCAGTCCGTTAGCCCGCGCAAGGAGCTCCGGCCGCAACACAGCCCGCCGCAGAGGGGAAGCGCGCGAGCGCGCTCTGGAAGAAGCAGAAGAAGAGGCCTGGAGAAGGCGTGAGCGCCGAAGGCAGGAAGAGGAAGAGGCGCGGTTGCGCGCCGCGGAAGAAGAAGCATATGAGAGGGAAGCGCGCAGAAAAGACAAGGCGCGCGCGCGCGCCATGGAGGAAGAAGAAGAGCTTGCGAGGCAGGACCGCAGAGAACGCAAGGCGCGTGCGCGCGCCATGGAGGAAGAAGAAGAGCTTGCGAGGCAGGACCGCAGAGAACGCAAGGTGCGTGCGCGCGCCATGGAGGAAGAAGAACTGCACAGACAAGAACGGGAAGGTCGTAAGCAGCGCGAGGACCGCACGCGCGCGGTAGAGGAAGATGAGGAACGGAAAGCGTCCAAACGGCGTGAGTCGCGCGCGCGCGCTGCTGGAACAGACGATGCACTTTTCGATGGCATACCTGTGTGGGAACTGAAGGCATGCCGCGACCGACTGGTGCGTGAGCGCGCTGGAGCCGACAGCAAAGAGAAGCCTATGGTTCCAGTGTCGAAGGAAACGACTGCAGCAGCTGCCAAAGCTGGAACTGGGCGCGGCAAGGAGCCAGCTGCCGCGCCGGACAAAGAGAGTTCGTCTTACAGCTACTATACCAGCAGTTCCGAAGAGCAAGACGGCAACACAGAGGCGGCGCCCGCGCCCGCTGCAGAGAGCAACCAAGCAGCTGCCAAACAAAAGGAGAAGGCGTCCGTGGCTGATGCCAAGAAAGCCCAAGCTGCGCCCAAGAAAAAAGATGCGGCGTTCGCGCCGGCCGAACCAAAGCAGGCGGCGGCGGCGCCTACGCTGCCTGGCATCGAATTCGTGGATCGCCTCCTGCAGACTGCGATCCGTGAGGGTTTGCAAGGCCTGAAATAGCCTGTTTCACCCCTACCGCACAGACCGCCAGTAAAAAAAGATGCTCTGTAGTTCAAGGGAGTAAGGTTAGCAAGGAATATGACAAAACACGTATGTATATTCAGAAAATCCAAGGGAAAAGTAAAAAATACGTATGTATTTGCCCATACGGATCACAAAACGCGTATGTATTTTCACATGTGTCCTCGTATTTTTATTGATTGATATGCTATGTCGGAGATGTATTTTTAATGTATTTTTTTGTATTTTTTTCACACGGGATAACATTAAAAAAAAAACGCGTATGTATGTTGCTTTCCAAGCAAAAGAAAACCCAAAAACACGTATGTATATTCCTTTAGAGGTAAGGAAACGCGTTTGTATATTGTACTTTGACAGCCCCGGAAGCAAATATACGAATGTATTTTTCCACAAAACACAGAAAACTATAGAAAAATGAACAAGATTCTCCGCAACTGTTGCACTCTCAAGACAGAGTTGTGGGTGCGCAGTCAAACGGCTCTTTGCTGTCACTTTTGCCCTCCTTGTTTTGAATCATATATATGACTCCTGCTGAAGATATGGCTACTCCTGCTGAAGATACTCTTGCGAGAGAGATCGAAGCTGACATGGACAGGCACGTGGAGGAGGCCAAAGCAGCATCCGCTCTGGAACCTCCAGCGGACGCGGCGGCGGCAACGCCAGCTGACGCCGCTGTGGATACTCCTGCGCATGACACTGCCACATGTGCAAAGTGCAAGACAGAAGGCAAGGTCGATGAGATGATTTCGCGACCGAGTTTTCGCGTCGAGCTGAGGCACATTTGCCGTCCTTGCAATGCTGTCGCGACGCAATTCCAGCGAAAAGGCGTGCAGCTGACGGAGCTTCTGAGCGAAGAGTCAATGGTTGCATTCTTCTCAGAATGTGCGTTGGAGAAGAAGAACGCGGAGGATGGCAGGCTGTTGTTCTCGCGCGCGCGCGATGCTGAAGAAATGCATGGTGCAGGAGGTGCGCCGCGAGAAGCGTGACGGATATGCAGGTGAATGGCAACCTTTGACGTACTGGGAATTGAAAGGCTATGATACTGAGCGCATCAAGGCAACCTGTCCCATGGAAGAACACAGTGCTTTGGGAGAGACTTACAAGGTGTCCATCCACACTGAGTCAGATGAGACGCTGCACGCGCAGGCTGAGCAGCGCATCACGCAGATGGAGTCTGATGCCCAGCAACGCCGGCTGGCGGCAGCATCTGCGCCGGGCGTGCCTGCCTTGGAGCTCGAGGAGGCTATGGAGGCGCCTGCTGCAGCTTCGAAGGGCAAGCGCAAGGGACCGCTCACGGAAGAAGAGAAGCAAGAGAGGAAGCGTCTTAAGACGCTGGCAAAACAGCGCGAAACAGAACGCAAGGTTGCCACAGCAGCAGCTGCCAAGCTGCTGCCCTCTCTGAAGACGTGCCTGGAGAAATTGGAGACGAAGCTGGGCGGCCTCGATCATGACACATTACCACCAGCTACACTGGAGCAAGCAGTGAATGCGGTGGAAGTGCTGACGGAAACCATTGCCGGAGCTACCAAGCTGCTCAACGCCGCTGCCACCGGCAAGGCTGGCGACGCAGTCGATGTGGACTGGAAGAAAGAAAAAGATCTGCAGAGTCGCATGAAGGACGGCCACGCAGCGCACAAAGCTCTGGTGGACTTCGCGCGCTGCCAAAGCGCGAAGCCCAAGGTTCGCAGCAAGAAGTGAAATGGGTCGCATGCGTGCGATCCGTGCCGTTGGAGCGTTATGACGCTCTATCCGCAATTAATTTGCTGCCATAATTCGTTCTCATATATACGGTCACTGCAGTTGGCTGTGATCCGTTAGCACCCCTGAGGAAAAATGCGCTTTCTCTTTCTTCGAGTCAAACGAGCAACACTTGTTTCATGGAAAAATATATATGTATATAATATATAGTGTTAAAATGTATATAGATTGAATACATTCATATATACAAAAAATAAAAACAAAGAAATAAAAACAGAAATAAAAGAAAGAAATAAATAAATCAATAAAGAAATGAAAAGCATATATATATATATATGTTTGGTGTATGCATATAATTCATATGTGTCACATCACAAAACTCCCCGCTTAATTTTTGGCAAATGGAAATCGCTCTATTTGTAGCTTTGGCTCCACTTCAGCCACCTTTGCCTGGAAAATGTCGGGCTGGGTAACTAAATCTATCCCTCAACGGGATGTTTTGGACATGGCGTTGCAAGACACCCTCCTCGAAGGGATCGATCTCATGGCATTGGGCTGCTGCAGCAAAGACTACAACAGCGTGGCGCATCGCTGCTGGAACTATGTGCGCTGTCGTCAAATTGTGCGCTTGAATATGGAACGGCTGGAAAAAGAAAAGATGTCAAAGGCAAAGTGCGACGCGGTGGCGGATGCAGCCTGACGCCGCTGCTCGCATCTATTGCCGCTGCGGTAGCATATGCAGCTCGCTCATGTGCAGTGGCCTGCCGTCTAGAGAGATGGATTGCAGCGACCGAAGTACAAAGCGGTGCTCTTGATGCTCGATTATGCCCTCTTTGGTTTGAATCCTTTGTCAGCTTTACACGCAGGAACTATTATATATAGACCCATATATATATGTAAAATATGTAGATATAATATAGAGTATATATAGAGTGTATATAGAATATGAATATATATATATATGTGGTGTATATATATATATATATATAACCTATAGATTGACAATCACTTTCTCGACGGAAATACGTCCATATTCCCGATAGCGTGCGTGTATACATGTTACATGTCCGTCTCATGTCTATATATATATATAGGCTCAAACTTAATTCGCAATTCAACATGGAACCTGCAGGCTATCCACCGGCCAAACGGCAAAAGATTCTATCGGCCTTAGCCCGATGGAGTGGCCGAAGCATCCATGGCATGCAAAGCGTGCTGAAGGGAACAAAAGCAGACAGAAGACCAAGTGGCGCGGCGGTCCGCGCTATGGCGCGGACACTGGCGCCAGCCAGGGCTTGCTTCAAACTGCTCGTGGCGCCGGCAAAGACTGCTGACCACCCGCCGCAGCAGTTCTGCGTGGCGGATGTGAAGCGACTGCTACAGTATGTCGCGCATGAATGCCCTTGCTTCCAAACCTTTCTATCGAGTTCCCAGGGCCATCTGCCGCTGCGGGTTGTGCTCTCGCACGATGAGACCACGGGCGGAAACGTCTTGGCAACAGACCCGAGGCAGAAAGCAACAATTTTCTACCTCACATTTGTAGGACTGCAATCGATCCATGAGTCGCCAAGGGCGTGGATTCCACTGGGGGTCTGCTCGCATGAGCAAGTGTCTCGAATACAAGGTGGATTGTCGAAAGTACACAGCCTATTTTTCGAAGATTGGCATCAGCAAAACTTAGGCCAAAGATTCGAAGTTGCTCCCGGCGTCCAGGTCATGTTGGAAATAGCCGCATTTTGCGCTGACATGGACGCACAGCGCGCCGCGCTGGAAGCGAAGGGGTCCGCAGGACTGCGACCTTGTGCCTTCTGCATGAATTGCGTCAGCGCGTACAGTGATGCGGCTAGCCAGACCGACGCTTTGCACTCCATTGCAGAGAAAGACATCAGAAAATTCAAGCAGCACACACAAAGGGGCCTACAGGCTTGGATGCGGTCAGCTTGGCAGAAATGGCCAACTATGACCGCGAAAGAACAAGACACCGTTTCGAAATGCTTGGGCTACAGAGTGACAGGAGATGGCATGTGGCAATCTGAAGCGTGCTGCGCTATGGTGCCACTGCATAAATGCATCAATGACTCCATGCATGTGTACTTCAGCAACGGAGTAGCATCTTTAGAACTTTGCTTGCTTGTTGCTGCTGTGAAGAAGGAAACGAATAAAGATGTATCGGACATGCTTGCAGCCGTTCAAGAGAGTGGCTGGCAGCGGTCCGGGATGGCAAAGCGGGGTGCCCAAAATAAATGGTGGACGAAAAGACTGTTCACTCCAAGCTTTTTTGGCGCCTCTATGTACAAGGGATCTGCTAAGCAAACGCAGGCACTTATCAGCTTGCTGCGCTGGCTTGCAGAAGGAGTTTGGGTTCACCAGCCCCAACTGCGCGTGGCCGCAGAGTCCTTCTTGAAGCTCTGCGTGTGTCTCGATGTGCTGAAAAGCATCTCTCAGACCCGTGCGTTTGATGAGCTTGCTGCCGCTCAAAGAGATCACATGGAAGCATTTCAACGTGCTTGGCCGGATTTTTTCCGCCCGAAGCATCACCACGCGCTGCACCTTGGAATGCAGTACGCGGAGACGGACTGCTTCCCCAACTGTTGGGGAACTGAAAGCAAGCACAGAGAATATAAGGACACGTTTGCTCGCATCCTGCAGCACCGGCTCACGCAAACAAGAGGAGGAGCTGCATTTGGCGAAAGCCTGATGCCAAGACTGCTCAACCGCCATGTGGAAATGCTGAATCAAAACCCGATTGCACCACATGGGTTTTTGCTTCTGAAGCAATTTACTTCGGAAGAAGTATTGCGCGTGGTTGGAATGGCACACTGCGAGATGTCTTCGCAGTGCCGCGTTGCCATGCTGGAGCTCAAAGATGGAGATCTCCTTCTGCGGAACCACGCATACAATGCTGGTCGTTGCCATTTCTTCCTGTCCAAAAACAATGAGCTGTACATATACGTCACGATGTTTGAGCTGAAAAATCGAAGCGCAGCCTTGCGAAGCTTTCAGGCCACTGGTCACAAGAAAATGATCAAGTGGTCAAATCTTCTGGCACCGTGTGTGCCAAGCTGGTGGAGAGAAATTCATATGCAAGTGCAATGTTTGCCATGAGTGCATCCAATTAGCAACTTTGACCGTTGCCGTGCTGGCCAAGCGGAAAAAAGAGGTGAAATCGCTGCAATTTAACAACTCCACGAAAAAAAGAAAAAAAAACGTTTTTCCTCGAAATGAAAAAATGCAAAACTAAAAAGATACAAAAAAGATAGCAAAGTTTTAACTTACTTATATCCACCCTTAACTTAACTTAACATAACTTCAACATAACTTCCTTAACTTAATTTATAACATGCATAACTTCAACATAACTTGGGGGCGTCTCCTTGTAGAAGTTTATGAAAAGATGATGGAGTTTCTCATCTGTGCCGGGTACACTCCCGATTCCTTAGGTTTCCTCATGCCAATGACGAGGATGCAGGGAGATGCAAAGGAGAAGCAGGAGATGAGGGTGACCATTAGCAACTTCCTCCGACGATTGATGAAGGGAACCTTTCCCGAATACGAGTCATACACCTTCTTTCGTTCCGGGAGCCACAGCTTCCCCAACTGCATTGAACTCCCAGCTTTCTCGGTATATCTGAGTCTGAGAGAAAGGGAACAAAGGGTGGAACTACTCTTCGCTGCCCAATAATGCGGTATTCCATGGCCTCGCAACTTCATCGGCAAGATGGCTTATGCCATTCAATTCGCTGAGTCCGAGGCGATGAGGGGAAAGTCCGAAATGAAAATAAAGATGGCTCCGAACCTGGGGGACGAAGTGGTAGGTGAAGTATTCAAAGCAGTCGGGGACAGTGCCAGCACCAAGCGTGCTGCTGCGGACGCGAAAGCCAGATCATCAACACAGCCTTCACAGAAACCTGAAGATACTGGTTCAGCGTCATCATCGGCCAGTGCACCAAAGGCTAAGGCCATGCCGAAGTCTTATGGACCACCTAAAGCACCACCTGCGAAACCAGCATCGCCGAAAGCTGCTCCGAAACGTGCGGCAGGTTGGGAGAAATCTCAAACGACACCTCAGTGGAAGAAAGTCCGCCGTGAGGAGTAAATCAACCACCTCTGTCCATCCAAGTGATCACTGGACTATAAGATGTCTATCGTCTTTGTGAACAGATGATCAGGAAAAGACCAATTGAGAGGACTCTGAGCGAGGCAGTAGACTAATTCGCTTAGGTTCCATGTTCTCACTACTCCCAATCTGCACGATTTTCTTTTTAGCAATGTGCACGTGAATTCACTAGTTAGCGTCAATTGCTATTCTTGGTGGAGCAGTCAACTTCCGTCGTCGATGGAGTGACTTGCGAAGCCGTAATCGTAGAGTAGCTGCAAGCTAGTGATAATTTGCGTTGTACAGCTCGAACTTGCGCTGACGCATTGCATGCCATAGAGTAGGCGACCCCGGATCCACTACGCTCGTCGGGTGTGGGTGAAGGGGAAGCTGAATGGATTTGCGTGTACAAAGGCGTAATTCGTGCACCACAAACAATATAATTCAAAGTTCCCACTCTCGTGCCTGCGGTGCGAAGCCACCGTAGGCATGGGGGGTGCTAAAGGGAACTAAACGGTACTGCACACATGTATAAGCATGTGGAGTAGGCCTGACATGACGCCAAATATTTGGCTCAAGTTGCAAGGGAAAACGGTGTTTGCGCCGCTCAGCAATGCTGCCTGGACTCCGGCTACTAGGACGTTATGGATTCCAACAACTACAACCAGATATCCGGGAACAAGGATTAAAATTGTTCACATACATATATATATATATATTTGTGTATGTGATGTGCGATATATTTTATGTAGGAAAAGATGAGATGTGCAACCATTCCACGAGTTCGATACCCGTCCTTTCGCTTTGCTGATCCGCGCGTTCCTCCGTGAGTCGATCCGGGCAGGTGAAATTTGGACATGCCTCGATCCTGAGCAAGGCGGCCCGTGCGGCGAGTGGTCCAGCGTTCACCCCTGAGATGTTGGAGTCTGAAGTGCCCACATTGTCACATATTTGTTTATGCTGTTTGGTTATAGCGTTATACCTGTGAAGTACAAAATGTTTAAAAACACATTTAGGTTCAGATGATACGCTTCCAAATTAGAGACTTAAATGGAAATAGACAATCTTTGTGCACTGACAAGACACAGAGCGCAGTCAAAAGCCAGCAAGAAATGTGGGACGAATTTCTTACTGGAAATGGCATTTCCGGAGCTCTATGTTTGGCAAACCGCTATTTTCAGTCAGCAGAAACAGGATCTTCAAGCTAGTGCCCCCAATTTTTACGTTGGTTCACATTCACCCCACTAGTTCAATATATCTACCACAGTCTACCATAAATCCAATTGTTAAGTTAGTTCTAAAATGTTCTAAACCAACTGAGCTATCATAAAACAACTATAAATCCTCATTGTTCGTGGGTCAATCACAATTGCTGGTTAAATCACCGTTTAACTCACCATTTGTTCTTCTTCAAATCCCCATGTTTGGTTCATCGTTCGATCGCCGACCAGGAAACCTTCGAAAGGTACAAAGTGTTGAATTCCAAGGACTGGGACGACTGGAACTGTCTGATGCTTCGCAACCGAGCAGATGCGGAGTGGACCACTGGATCAACTGGATCAACCGAGCAGTTAACCGAGCAAAATGGGAGAAAAAAAGGTCTTATCATGAATCATCTTATGCTGGTTATGTTGGTTATGTTATGTGGGTGCTTTTAGGAGTTGATGACATTTCCCACCGAACATTTTTTTCGGGATGTTGAATATTAAATGGCATAATATCTCATAATGATGAATCGACAGATGGGATTCGATGAGAGTATTAATGTATTAGTCAATATATAACTTATGATTTCTGGTTGGTGCTGACTGGAACATGAATGGATTATTTGTTCCATTCAGAAAAGGGAATGTCATCATCCCAACTGACGATTCGTTCACAGATCATCCCACTGTCGCGTTTCTGCAACGACAAGTGTGCTGTTTTTTTTTAATGGGATGTGATTGGATTAATCGAAGGAAGTTTAGAAGTCAAACTTCCGACAATATGGACAGATGAAAAGCAGAGTAGGGCAGAGGCAGAGAGAAGAGAAAGATTAGAAGAGAGAAGAGTAGAAGAGAAAGAGTAAGAGGACAGAAGATACAGATGCGCGAAAAGGTAGGAAAGTCGCGATTCACTGTGTTTTTCCCCACATCTTTGTGTGGGGTTCTTGTTTTTGATTCTGTATCCCGGGTTTCTCCGCCTCCTCCTCCTCCTCCGCCGCCTCCCGCCTCCTCCTCCACACACACCAACACACACACACACCACAAACACATACACACACACCAACACACACACACCATCACATACACACACACACCACAAACCAACACACACACACCATCACATACACACACACCACAAACCAACACACACACACAACACCAACACACACACACACCAACACATACACACACACACACCACAAACCAACACACACACAACACCAACACATACACACACACACACCAACACACACACACACACTGGCAGGCGTGGGACAACCTGACATCCACCTTGGTTTCACGTGGCAGGCGTGGCACAAAGTCACATCCACCGTCGTTTTGCGTGGCAGGCGTGGGACAGATGGCACTGGGTGGCGCGCTTGGTCCGGCTTGGGCGCCTGTGACGCCGCGGCACTTTGTGTGGCAGGCGTGGCACAAAGTTACATCCACCGTCGTTTTGCCAGTACATGTCCAAGCCAGGTACCTAGGTATCATTGTCAGCTATCATTTGTTTGAACAATACACGGTCAAATCTCGCATCAAGGCAGCCAATCACACCTTTGCGCGCCTCAGACGGTGGCTCACTGCCCGGCAAATCTCATTGCGCGCCAGGATGCAGATGTGGCAAACGTGCATTTTTTCAACATTTTTTCAGTAGGCTTCTCCATGACTGACTTGCTCAAGATCCAACAATGCATATTTCAGATGTACCGTAGGATTCTGGGTGATCACAGCTTCAAAACAGGCAACACTCACTTGAATGTGTTGAAACAACACGGCCTACATCATCCGCTTGAGCTGCTGTTTCATGCGGGCTGCAAGCTCCGACGTACGTTAGGCCAACGCCTCACTTTAGTGCAATCTGATGACATAGTCAATACAGTGGATTGGACGCACTTGCAACATTTACTTCAATTGGTGCACGTCACGTGGCAAGAGCAAAGCCAGGTGCACATGTCCATCCCAGATGATGAGGCGCTTGCTCAACCTTTTCACTGTGAGTTCTGCCCATTTCGTAGCTCATATCCATAGCCAATTTGAGACGTCACATGACTCAAGAACATGATAAACCCCAATTCCGTACATTTGTGACCACAGTTGCATCGTTTGCACACAGAGGATTGCCGCAATGTTCACATTGCTTTGAGACATTTCCCACATGGCGCAATTTCCAGATTCATTTGGAACGCAATTGCTGTCAGGTGCAACCCATCAGGCCACTGGCCTCACAGAGCATGAGAATGGCTACCCCAGAAGCCACGCCAGGCCAATATCCATTACTGACAGAGGCCCACCTGACTCTGCTTTTGTCCAAACCTTTTGGCACCGCAGTGTTAGAATGCATACGGCATCGTCGATGGAGAGACCTGCAGTCAATGCCAGAAGCAACCAAAGACTTGACAAACCATTGCATCCTTTGTGGGTTGTTCAGCAATCGGCCACAGGATCTCAACTTGCATCTACGCACACAGCATCGACAGTTGTTGCCACACGTCATGTCCAAGGCCAGTCAGTTGTGCAAATCCCAAGCCTCAAACTCACCGTGCAGTTTTTGCAGTCGCAGCTTTCGAAGGGTGCATCAATGTCCAGTCATGACACAAGCCGCGCTGATTCTGGTGAATACAGACCGCACAGGTACATCCTATGCACAGCCAGGAGACGACGTGCTCAGATGCGATGTTTGTGGGGACACCTTTCAGGAGCTCCAACAAGTGCATGAGCATTTACACACTGCACATCGGTTAGAACCACAGGATTGGGATCCCCTGAGGGACTTGCTGGACAACAACCCAGCTTGCGCACACTGTGCGGCCATTTTCACGGAAAAATCCTCAGTCAGGCATCATATCACGTTGGGACAATGCCCAAGCTTTGACCCGTTGCGCATGCCATCAGAGCACCCGATTGCCCAAGAATGGCAGGAGCTCATACAACATGGCTCCATTGCCACCCTGCGGCAGGCACCCATGAAGCGCTTGACACTGACCTTGACTTGTCAGTTTTGCCAAACATCATTCAAACGCACAGGGGATTTGTCACTCCATCTTCAAACCGTACACAGTCAGCTGTGGAAAGAGTCTCAACCCCATGTGCAGCTGCTGCTTGAAGCCAGCCGACAGTTTGGATGCCTATGTAACCCCATGACCAATGCCAGTGGATTACAACACATTTGTGTTTCTGTCAGGCAGATCGGCATGATGGTACAGAGAATGGTATTGCCCCTGTTCTTGCCTTGGGAATTTGAACGTGCCACCATTCGTCAATTTTTGCAAGCCATTCAACAAAACCCAGTAGCTGCAGTGTTGGAAGATTGTTTGATGGAACGCAATTTCACACAACTTTGGAGTGACCCACGGATGATTTCTTTGCTGCGCACCAGATGCTTGCTCTGTGCACTTCAATGCCATCCAGCTGAACTGCGTGATCACATATGTAGTGCTCATGCCTCAGACACAAAGGGATATCACCTGCTGATGCCATCACTGATACACACCATTGGCCGTGACAACACCACTGACTTTCAGTGCGATGCATGTCTGCAGATTTACAACTATCCAGCCACTGGCCAGGAAACAGACTCAGAAAGGGCTGACAGATCTCTTCTGGCTCAAATTCACCTGCAACATCAGTGCCCAGTCCTCTTGCAACTTGCTCTTCTTCTGCAAGACCATGGACGCCACCGTGGAGTACACGGCAGAGGACTCGGAGATGCTGGAGACCTTCAAGCTCATGGGGCCTCTACTCAAGATGGATTGCTACGAGCGCCCAGAAGACGACAGAGGCCACAAGAAAGCCAAGAAGGCCAACTCCACCAAGGCAGAGCACAACGCCGACGCCAGCATCCTCCAGGCGATGGGACAGTTGCTCCTGAAACTGGATGCGGAGCAGCAGGCCTGGAAAAGGCAAGACTCATGGATTTGCTTCATGCAAACCGAGCCCCAGGCCATCCTGCCCTCCCTGATACAGACAGCGGCCACATGGAAGCAGAAGCTTCAGGTGAAACAGGAGCCGATGCAGGATCTCCCAGTGACACCGTTGAGGTGTGTCCTCACCTAGCACCTGGCGGAGATCCTTCAACAGCGCCTCCAACGCTTGGCAGCCAACAACGACAAGGACCCACTGAAGGGGGCAGCACTGGAGCATGGGATGCTCACACCAGAGGGGGGCTTTCCCTTTCAACGCTGGAGCGCTCCACAACAGGCACTGAGGAGCACCACACAGACTCCCATCCCCATTCAACGGATGGTACGGTATGCCGACCAACTGAGGGAGATCCTGAAAGACCCACAGGTCACAGTGAAATTTCACAGTCTGAGACCGCTCTCGGCGGAGAAAGTAGTGCCCTGGATGTGGCAAATATCCATGAGAGCGGACGACCTACAAGTCTTGCTGTCGACATTGCAAGGCTCGACGGTATGGGGGCTCCTGGGCATGTCGGTGAAGCCCCACACGCTGCATCAGAGCAAGCAGGGGATGCATCTACAATCCCTCATGGGGAAGGGGGCAGGGAAGCACCACGGCAAACATCAGGGCAAATCGAAGACTCCGACCTCATAGCCCATCCAGGCACTCCTGCACCAAGCAGAATGGAACTCCTACGTGGACTGGCATCGCTTCAACTTGCCAATGATTCCAATTGGTGCTTTGTGAATGCTGCGGTCATGACAACGCTGTGGGCCTATCTGAGTCTGCACACTTTTACTTTAGATCAGTGGGGACCACAGGCCACTAAGATTGCCCAAATGCTTCTGAATCATGACTCCAGACCGGTTGAACTTTCCACCATTCCCTGTTTCCACCATTTGTTTGCGCAGTGGCATGATTTGGGCAGACAAGGTGACCCAGTGGAATTTTTGGCGCACTTCATCAGGGGGATGCAATTCACAAGCATCAACATGAGCTGGGAAAAGAGAATCCAGATTGGCATGCTCACGGAAACTACGGATGAAAGTGACTCCTTCACTCCATTGATTTTACGTTTTGACCCAGCGTTGATGCAAGATGATTCCATTACTCTTTTGCAAATGCTGCGAGATTGGTCCAATCAAGATGGAATGATGACAGCTCTGCTCCATCCCACTCCAATCCTCTGTGTTCAGATTGATCGACACGTGCGCTCAGGTGACGGTTCCATCATCAAGTGCGACATCCCAGTCAATTTTTACTGGGGCTTGGAAGTACCAGTTTACATAGGGGATGGCCTGGACATTGCATGGCATGACTATAAAGTCATTGCTGCCATAGCACACTTAGGTCATGACACCGCTGGACACTGCAGAGCACTGCTGAAAGTGCAGATGACTGCGGACACCTCACATCCATACATGTTTTTGCTCACAGATGACTGGCAAAAGGCGGTGCCGGTCTGGAAGGAGCCCTCATGGTTTCTGCGCAATATTTCATGTTTCTGGTTGGGCAGATGCGACCAGATCTCACTGCATGACCTGCGGCCA